TAACTGAAAGCACAGTCAGAGAAAGAAATTTCCAATGTAAAGTTTATTTTTATAAAAAGGAAAAAAATAAACCTGGGCAGCCTGTGATCACAAAAATCAAAACCTAATCTGTTACTAAGGTAACAAGATAGAAACAGCACTTTCGGTGGTGTTCAGTGGGAAACTGTACACAATGATTTGCAAAGTCTCTGTAGCAATACTATATTTTGAAGAAAACAACAGGGAAGAGGGTGAGTCTTAACTTCCAGTCCCTCTCCCCACAAACATATTTTTCACATATTGCAGCTGATGCAATTCCCAACTTAGTGGCTGTTTTGGAACCTGATTTTTTTTAAAAAAACAAATAAAGTAGAGTGTGATCCAGACAGCTGAGGAATAAACTCTTTCTGCTTCTTAGAGGTTCCTTCTTAAGGAGAGTTTGTTCTTGATCTGTACTTACAGTGAGATGAGTAATTTCATTCAGAGCTATAACATACCAAAGGTTTTTATTTTGTAGTGTGCTCTGAAATGCTACATTACCTGTGTTGTTCTTTTTGGCATCGATGCTTCACTGACATTTTAGGATTTGGAAATATTTCTAAGCTTCTTAAAAAACACCCAAAACCTTGCTCAAAAATAGAAATTTGTCATTCCATAATGGAAATACCTAAGCTTTTACATAGGAGTTGTTATTCCTCTTAAGAAGTATTTAAAACCTTCATATTAATAAGAAGCCCTATTAAGCGGTGACTGGAAACAACTGCTGTCACTACAAGTACTTTATTTCTACCATGAAAATAGTTGTATGCTGTTCTTAGTGACAACCTCCACTTAATTTCACTCCATTGACAGTTACATCAACAGCTGAAGAAGTGGCCAGTTACAAAGGCAGTTTCATAAAGGTTAAATATGCAAAGTAGAATGTGATTTAATCCAGTAAAAGTGAAAGAGCCTGTCAGAGAAAGTACGCTGGCAAATGGGCAACCAGTTGAACATGTTATATTTTAATTTGCAGAGACAAAAATGACAAGCAATTTATTTACATAAAACTGTACAAAAGCAAATTAAATTATGTAAATATTTCATAAATAGAGGTGGAGTAGCGTTTAATACATTTTGCCATGTTTAGCATAGTTGCGTGCATAGTGACTCGTAATAAACAATGATAAATTGTTCTCTGCTTCACTATCAACATCCAAGTTGCAGAACAATAGTCAATGATTAATATTACAAACAGATCGTACCACACTGAATGCAAGTGCTTTAAAATTTAGGAAAAGTGGTCTGAAAGCATACCCCAGGTAGCTGGTGAAAGTCGTCGTCTTCTTCCTCGTGTTTATGCTCTTCAGTGTACAACTTAACTGATGCACTTTCATTTCTATTGCTCTTTCATCTGTTTCATTCCTTAGGG